AGAACTAAAGCATAGACTGTGAAAATACAACGCGAAATCTGTCTATATGAATGATGATATCTGATGATCAACACTAAACAATACAGTGATTAGACGTTGCCAACGAATAAATGCCTAGCTGGTGCTCGGCAGCACCGGGCGATTGTTCCAGTTGCAAATGATTCATGTCAAGAAAATCGTTATGATGATGCTGAATCCGATTCAACGGAGACGATCGCGGTAGACGTATCGTTGATCGTTGGGCCGGACATACGAGTTCAATGTGCTTGTTCAAATAGCTCTTCAACGCGAACAGTTTGCCACAACTCGAACATTCATGTTTTTTGACACCTGCAAGCAATGATTTCAACACACTTTTCGCATCCTCTTCCGCATTCTGCAGTAACTTCATTGCGGTAACAGTCGATGCCTAAAGATTGCTCGAATATAGCTAGCTAGCAGCATCATTAATCCACATTCATATTGTGCTTTCGGTTAATCGAATTATCATTTCACTTGAGTCACTTTCTAATTGTAAGCATAAAACAAGCCGGTGTAACTAAATATTCCGGATAGTTTATGTCATGAAGATGAACAACAACAGAGATCCATGCAGTCCATTTTCATATGCGAAGCACACACATGAGCAGATGGGAGATCAGGCATGCGAGTTGGTGCTTTTGTAATAGAAAATTATGCAACAAATGGATTTGCGTCATCCAATTTACGTCAAATACATTGCGTATCGCTGATAAGTTTGTCTATTCATGAGCAAAAGAAGAAATCAACAATTGTCGGCATTGGGCATACGATCCGTGTTTTTTGAATGATACTAGTTGTGGTGTGTTTTAAAGGAATATTTGTGGGTGTGTTGTTGAATTTTTGCTTGTGAATTGAGACGCAGCAATGGAAGAGATTCGGAAAACTTGTTGTACGGACGGGTATTAGCATTATTGGTCATGTATTGCAGTCGTTCAGCGACTCTGTGATTTTGCTACTTTAATCTCTGGCTTATTAGATGTGTGTGTGCACAATGTATCGCTTCAATTGCTAGATTTGTTCAAGTGTCGTTTTCAAGCCGAACACATTAATCTAATCGCCATCTCAACGTTTTGTTCAATCCCCTAGAACAACGAACACTTCAGCAAACGCAATCAATCATCCTAATTTTAAGCATGGATGACTGGTCACTTAACGACTCGAGACTAGTTAGTTACGTTATATATCTCAACGAACTGGTTGAATGTGTCCATAAAACTAAAAACCATTTGGCAGGCCAGTTAAGTTCGCTTTCAAAAAACCGAATTCCGTCTGGCTGCATAGACATTCCTTAGAAACCATATAAGTAAATACTCTTGTCATTCACTCAGCTTGGTCGAGATTGCGTTTTCGGTGTGTTTAAATAGACGATTCGCTTTCGGAAAAGCCATCATCGCACAATGTGAATGTGAATGCAGCAAACAAGAGAGTAACTGCCTAACCAGTATGAGTGTGCATATGAGCCCGGAGATTACTTCGGTCGGCGAAAGCTTTGCCGCAATGCGCACATCCGTAAGGCTTCTGACCGGTATGTGCACGCATGTGACCTTGTAAAAGCCATGGCCTTGAGAAGTTTTTACCACACACCGTACACTTATGCGC